GGAAACCTCAACTGAGAATTCAATTGAGAATTTAATTGAGAATTCAATTGGGAATTCAATTGTGATCTCAATAGAAATTTTTCAGTAGGGCGGATATTAAATAAGAAAGAACAAGAGAGAGAAGCGAAGGCGTTTACTTATCGCGGAGCAGGTAGCAGTGCGGTAATTCAAAATTTCTCTGCTTCCACGAGACATTGGTTGCGTTCAGCAGAGAAAGCTGCTTTACAACTGTTGTAAAATTCGTGAATCTGATTGGAGTATGCTCTTAATTTTGGTTAAATCCAAGAGCATGTACCAAGCAGATTCACGAATTTTACAACAGTTGTAAAGCAGCTTTCTCTGCTGAACGCAGCCATTGTCTGTCAAATATTATTTATTTACAAAAAAAATATACTTTCCTATCATTACATTCTCTCTCAAGTTACTTCATTCATTATGCATACACGAACAGCTACATCGTCGTCCGATTGAGGTTACTGCGAGTACGCGACGAGGTGATATTAAAGACTGTTGGTTTTACAGAATTTTGCGTGCCAGAAAATCTCGTTATTTAATAATTTCCTGTCGAATTTATCGACAAAAATAAGCAAAAGTAGTGATAACTATAGAAATGCAGTTTCATAAAGTATAGTTGAATATACTTTGTATCGGTCTACATAACAATAAAATTAAGATAATTATAAAATTATATAATCAAGATAACTATAAAATTATATAATTCTATTTATTAAATATTAAATATCCAAGTATTTATATCGAGCTAAAAATAATGTCATTTTTCTTCAATTATTTCCAAGTATCTTGGGACCCCCTTGTGAAAATTTAGCCAGAGCTAACAGTCTGTAAAATATTTCGCTGCGAGTGGAATGTCTCAAGCGCGTTATTTGAATTACGCGCGGAAGAGTTGCAGCGTGAGTGTGCTCCAGGAGCGCTGCGGTGCAGCGCAGCCGAAACAGCGATGGAGTTGTGTTGTTGTTTGGAGGATTGACAGTCCGAGCGGGTCGGGCTCGGCACGGGGTTTCGTAATGTCGCGTTGATCCAGGTGTGTCGTGTGATCGGCGTTCCAGCAGCTAAACGATCAGTCGACGCATCCTGAAGAATCCTCTGGCGATAACTGGCTTCGTCTCGCCTGGCCGTTGCGTCCTGATAAATCCAGTGAGGCTATAGATCTCGCGTATTGTCGGGTGCATCGAAATCTTCACTTTTAGGTGTAGGAGGATTCAGACAAGGTGCAGATGATTGCACCATTTGAATACGCTTCCAGTGCATATATTTCCAGGAACCGGAATACACTGACCAAGCGCGTTTGTAACTGTAGTAATTGCGTAAATAGCGCAAACTTTGTTCGACATTGCAGATGCTTCGAAGCGTCAAATAAAGTAACATTATCGGCCAATCTGTCGCTTTGAAGCATTGCAGCGCTAAACGGACTTCATCTATAATTGACCGTTACTTAGAACAATTGGCATAATTGCACTGGAGATTTTCCATAGAATTTGCATATGTAGGGTGCGTTCGCTTTGGCGCTTACGCGCTGTAAGCGTCATTCTACCTTTATCGTTTTATTACATACGAGAAGAAGATAAAATGACGCTTACAGCGCATAAGCGCCCAAAGTGAACACAGCCATAGACTGACAATACATAGCAGATTTTGTCCTCTCTCTGAAGGCAATTCTCTCTATTTTATTTTTCTCTATAAATGTGTTCGGAAATATAGCACAAAACTATTTTTTGTTCGTGCGGAACTATAGTTTTAGGAGGTGAAGCACCCCTTTGAAAAAAATCGGTTTTTTTCTTTTGAAGCAAATATCGTCAAAACTATGAGAGATAGAAAAAATTTTCCAAATTGAATGATTTCAAGAGTACTTTAAAATAATAAATAATATAATAAAAAAATAATAATATATATAATAATAATATAATAAAAAAATCTTTTTAAAATAGGGGTGGGGTATACAATAAATAAACAATTAAAACATTTTTTTTATAATAGTTCTAAAATACTCTTAAAATCATTCAATTTTCACTTTAGAAAATTTTTTCTATTATAGTTTCGACGATATTCGCTTCAAAAGAAAAAAAACCGATTTTTTTCAAAGGGGTGTTTCATCCCCTGTAATTCCGTACAAACAAAAAATAGTTTTGTGTTATGGATGAACTACTCTACCTGCACACAAAGTTTCAGAATTTTTTGAATTTTTGAGTTGCCTAGTTCCTTGTTAGCTATATAGTGGAACATCCTAACTCATATAGCACAAATATTCACTAGATATCCTAAGAACGTTCTAAAAATATTTGGATATTCTTAGAATATTCTTAGGATATCTATTGAATATTTGTGCTGTATAGGAATTGATACATGGATCATATGCGAAACGTACGATTATAAGAGACCGTGTTTTTCACTGCGTGTGTGAAATTGAGGTTACTTATTTAAAGTACTTCTATTTTTATAACAACCACATTTTTTTTTATCTTTCTTACAATATGTCGATTTCACTTTTATGTTACGCGACATATGTTTAAAACACTGACATGGACTGACATACACTGACAAACAATATACACTTTTGATACTTTAAGAAAGAGAGAAATACTACTATCTCAAACATTTCCTTCGGACATTGTTTCTTATATAGAAACTATAGTGGTTCATATCTATAAAGTCTTCGAATAATGCGCTCATATACATCTTGTCTGAACCCTCCTACACCTAAGGGTAAACACTTCATTGCACCCGAGTGTACATGTTAAGTCTGTTCCTTTTAACTTCACCGTCTTGCACTTTCTCTCTTTCACACTAACAAGTATGCCCTACATTCAGAATAGAATAATGATGTTCTCGAAATTTGAGGAGAAAAAGATGAAAAGATTAATTGTGAAAACGTATAATTAAAAAGATCAAATTTGAACGCGTTATGTGTATATAAAAATCTATTAGTTGTACTGTTCTCTATCTCCTTTCTTGTATTTTAAGTAATATTATATGCATGATTTATTGTGATTTATTCAACCAATTCTAAAACCTGCGTATTCGTTTTAGCTGCGCTTTCCGTGTTTAAGAAGGATGACAAAAAGCATTGGAAGTACGATTGGAAACTCATATCAAACTCCTCGAGTCTGTTTGAAAGATTCAGAGATGAAAGCTTAGCTGATGTCGTGAGGCGCGCGAATGAGAGAACCGAGAATATATGACATAATTAAAAATACCCTCGATCCAACTCGATTCGGAGGTAAACGAAGGAAGAAAGAAGGCTCGTTAAGGAAAATATATTTTTAATTATTGACTTTGTGACAAGTACACCAAAGGTTAATCGTTATCATTCTCGATGATTTGTTGTTTATCGGCGTTGCGCGGAGGTCGCGAAAAATTCGCATTGCGATAAAATAATTAAGCATGCGTCGCGAGAAAAGTGTGCACTGTCGGCATGCAACTCAATCAAACCCGCCGAGATTTGGATAATTCAAGTAAACTTGATTTAATCGAATATACAAATTAAAGCTTCAACACTTGCTCGGATCTAACACTACCCGGCTACCCGATTAGATAATAGATAATGTGATGCTTCAAATTTGAGTTTTCCAAAATACTCGAACAATTGAAGCGTCAAATCAGAATCCGGATCCAAACAGAAAATTTGAACTTTATCATCTAATCATCGTATTTCATTCACTTTCATTGATTCTTTAAAATCGATTGTACTTTTCTTGTAATGTATCGATTAATCGATTCTAATTAAAGGAATAATCGATTTTTATGAAATTATTCTTTTTGACCGAATCGTGAACGACTAATCTGGAACCGGATTTTGAGTTTGATCTGAAGTTGGATCCGGATAATCTAGATTACCCGGATTATCTGAGTAAAGTTATTTTGAGTTTTTGTATTGAAACCGATCTAGAATATCCGAATAGACAGATATCCGAATATCTAACTATCCAGGATACCTGAATATTTGGGAGCTCCAGTACAAAACTTTTGAGCCTACCTTTAGATTATAGTGTTTTCAGTATATATGCTACCCTTATAGAAATATCATACTAAGAATCATTGATAATTACTTATTATCCAGTATTTTTAATACTGAAAATAAGTAATTATCAATGATTCTTAGTATGATATTTCTCTAAAGGTAAACTGAACAGAAAATATGCTAAACTGATTTTTATGATTGTTACTTTCACGTTTGGCAATGAAATTGCGATTGCAATCTCCCAAATCGAAACGGCATTATAAATCCGAATCTATTGGAATTACAACGCTCGACTATATCGAATCGTCGTGATCACAGATTAATGCATACTTCGTCGTTTCTGGATTGTAAAAAGCGCTCGACGACTTTCGATTTTCTGCAGGAGAAATGTGCTATATCACCATCCTGTTATTTATCTCACTGTAGGCAGACACTGAAAAATTGCTCGCGCCTTTAGTGCATTACTATCGCATCGTCGAGGGGGCGAGAGTTGATTAAAGCACGACGGAGCGTAGAACTTCATTAAGATAATCGGCTACCATAATAACTCTCGCCAACTGCGAGAGTTCAAGATTGATCGACAATTACGGCTGCGCGGCTGTTGTGCATTGCACTGCTCTCAATTGTTTGCACGTGTTCTATAGTTATCGCTGTTTGCCCGTGCCAACGGCAACACGATTATTACCCTGGGTGGGAGAATGCGGCATTTCACACAGTATTAGAAAAATTGCTGATAACTGTATCTGAAAGAACTTCGGCCGCAATTAATGTAACATTCTGTATTCCAGATTTCTCATTATATATTCTATATAATTAAAGGATATAAAGTTATATGCAGTCAATTTTGCATCAGCATTTGGCCCCTTTTCTGACGACACAATACGAACGACAATGAAAAGTGAAATTAATTGCTTACGTTAATCGCGTCATATAATCCGGAGAAAATTAAAAATCAATGATTTGTATGATGCTTGCGATAAATAATCGACTATAAAGATAAATGATAAACAGTCGATTGTAACAGGCACTTGTTACGATCGAGATTCTTCTGCTTAATGTCTGTAAAGTAGCGACATTAGTGATTATCAAGATGCGTATAAGAGTGTCGTACATCACTGATGTGTATCTTTTTGCGTGTGAATAACTTGTCAATGGTAACAAGTCTATCTTTAGGAGTCGCTTGTTTTCATGATCCAGTTATCGCCTGCATCGCGAGCATCGCACACACATACGACATGTTAATGCAGTTTGCTGATCTCACTTCGTTGTCTTTACAGGCCAAAGGTATATGATTCATAACTTTTCGTCCCGGCTGAAGGAAAGCGATTGGCGGCGCCTGAACGAGCCGCGGGAGGCTCGACCACTTATTTCCCCTTCTTCGTGAGCAGTTGGTGCACAACACGCACCCCGAGCTGAGAACTTGTCGACGGCACGAGCCACGAGCGGGAGAAGCGTACTCATTTGTCGACGCGTGCGGATGGACACCGGAGGGGACCTCCGCGTTAGGGTTGATCGCACCGGCATAGCATAACGCTAATCACAACCAAGTAAACATTACCTCCACGCATTTTAATAAAATTATGTAGACTGTACAAGGTGTCTCTGAATAAACAGCTCGAATTAGGATACATTCTTCGGACAGTTTGGTATTGAACTTCATTGAATAGTAGCGGCATTGAGTTACCGATAATTTTTACGTTATCGGCGGTTAAAAATAACGAATTTCTCCTTGAACTAAATTCTTCGATCTTTATTGGCTTTTTTAACAAATAACAAATAACAGTCAATATTAACGATCTCCCACAACGTTTCCTCGAACGAAAAATCATTCCGGATTTATCAAAGAATCTATCGTTAAAACTCAATCCCCGTTTATTTGGAGATACTTTGCGCGAGTATTTCGTTGTGTGTTGATAATAACATAGATAAAGTCATAAAAACATAATCAGTAGTAGATTCCAATGTTTACAAACAACAATCACGTACAATCTTGCTGATCATTTCTCAAATATGATTTCGCAATTTTACGAAGTAACTCTACGTGATCGATAACGAAACACGCATCTAATATAATATATAGAACTATAAATTAAAAAAGAGACTATGAAGTCAAGTTTTTAATCAAATTGCTTGATTCCACAGATTTTACAAGATCGTACGTGACGGTTTAAAATTTTATTTATAAACGGTCTTTTCTGTTTGAAGTAGACTTATCTGTTTTCCACTGACTGTTATGTATACTCGTTATATTTTATTCTTGTTTACCCGTTCAGTTCTGGCTTAGTATAGCGAAATGTTGAACTACATTATAGATGAGTTTCGTGACTTGCGACATCAATTCGTCCAAAAAAATCGTAGACTTTTATCGTTATACTAATCTGTGGCGCCAGTGTACATTGAAGGTCACGAGTTACTACTCTGCAGTATCATAGCAGCTGTTCTTCTGAGATATATTTTTCCTTTAATTCCCAGACGAATAAAATGGATGGACAGTGATCGGACGAAAGTTGGTCGTTGTTTATCACATATTACGATACAGTGCTCGGAGTTTCCTGTCCTACCCTGAAACATCGTCGAATTTAATTCTTATCAATTGAAGCCGCCTGATTGTCACATCGAGCTGTTCAGGGTAAGCCTGTATTGTCGGGAGAAATTCGCACTCGATTCACCACCGGAGTTTTGTAACTCTCTCGCTAGCTGCGGGATTGACGAGCGAATTGTCACATGTTCAGACAGGCGATAACAAGTCAGCGTCGACGAACACGAGAGCAAGTTGGCAGATAAGGCCGTTACTGATGGTAGAACTGAGTCATGTCAACGTTGTGCCTGTGACTTCTCACGTTGTTTCTCTTCTCGTGTTTCGTTGCGAAACCAGTGGCGGTGGCGGCGGTGGTGGTGGTGGTGGTTGCTGGTAACTGGTAGCTGGTAGCTGGTAGCATTGGTGGTGGTGACGAGGACGACGGTAGCGGCGGCTGTAGTGGCGGTGACAGTGATGTTGCCGAGGAATAACCTACGAATTCGGGGTTACTGCTCTCCGTCTCTTCGTGCTCCGTAGGCTCAGAAGCTTTCCTGTGGAAAGCCGTAGTAAACTGGTGATCAGCCGCGGATACGTGGGAATGTTATGTAAGCCACATAGTCGTTCAACAAATATGATATATGCACGCATGCATCGGTCGCGGATCGGATTCGCGCCGGACGCGTCGCAACGTCGCGTTCGAATTGTAAATATGCTTCAACGAGGAGACATGGTCGAGCAGAGCCGGGTAAAATGTCAGTTTCATTTTTTCCGCCGCTGCGCTAACATTGAGACAGACCGAGGCTTTCTGATTTTTTAATTTCTCCAAGGCACTTTGGAAGTCGCGCTTTTTGCACAGTATATACGCGATAGACTCGTGGTCGCTATGATAGAAAATGTTCAAACGTAATTCACGGGAAAACATAATCGTCAGAGATCGCAGATCGTGCCTCATACTATTCAGTCCTGATCCTCGAGTGACGTAAGACAATACACACATGACAATGATACGTGTCGACACGTGTGATAGTTTGTATAATCGATTCGCTCGATTCCCTGTAAGGAATCTTGATTTTTTAGGTGATCAAGTTACGTGGTCGAAGGATGCATGCCGGAAGCAGCAGGAGGACAACCTGTGCGCGTGGTTGAGTCTCGACGAAGTGGCGAGTTATGAGGAAGATGCGCGTTTGAAAACTGAGGAACCAGAAGAGGAGGACGAGAAGGAGCGCGAGGAACTTTCAGGAATGTCTTCGGCGTCAGTCAACAAGCTACAGATTCTGTGGGACCATTTCATCCACGCTGAACCTCAGAGTTACGAGGTACTACCAAGTTTCCAAATCTATTTATTATTTCATTTACGGAAACAAAAAAATTAATGCTTTGTCATATTAAATTTATTCTCTTAAATGCACGTAGATAAATATATTATAGTAATAGATAAATATATTATAGTAAATAAAATGTGTAATGAAAAAATTAATTTTTTCAAACTACGAGCGTTAACTGCGCCTCGAAGTCCATCGCTTCGTAATTGGATTTCTTCGACCATACTAATGCTGCATTGTAGTGGCTTGCGAAGGGGACAGATGCCTTATAAGTTACCTACATTTTGTTTGTCAATACGTGGTGAAGGAGATACCCAATATACACTAACTAACAGTAATATTACGTTAGTGTTATAATTTCTTACTCAACAATGTAACTGTTGCATAATATAACATATTACATTCATATTACATTTATATTATATTATTGATAATTGGTGCTTACTGAGTAACAATCGTCTATGATGTCATCGACAACAAGATTCATTTCTTAAAATCAGATTTATTAATTTTGCTTACGCATTTTATATATAGTAAAATTTTATTGCGACTGAAGTCTATTATGTAAAATTTCTCTTATTTTTCCGTGTATTTTTAATTAAAATCTTTTAAGACTTAATGATTGATCACGTATGTAAATTAAATAAAATGTAACAAATATATTTATGTAACATATGATCGAAGTATTATAAGTGCTGTGGTGACTGAGAGCAGACATATGACCGCGGAGGATTAATTATACGCTAAGCAACGTGATTATTTCCAATTTCTTCGGATACTGAAAATTCAAAGTGTTCCACTTTCATATCTGAAGTTTTTTATAAAATTGCATCAGCATGTATACACGCGCGCATAAATAAGCAATGTTAACAGTATGCAGCAAGTATGTCATTTTACTGATTACATTTTATCATTTTGTACGCTTATTTAACGATTACGCTTAGTCGTTACGTTTTTTATTTTGGATCTATTAGCGTTGATTACTACATCATATATGATGATAGTTTACTTTTATTGATCTTGGTCTTTTTATCTTGATCGTTATATTATGTATCCACGGGATTTCCTTCTATGCGTTTTCTGTCTTAATGTTATGACTTGTTTGTTTTTATTTTTTTTACGTCTTCAGATACTGGACCACATTTATTGCACTGCAACGAGTAGTAATTGCGCTTTTGTTTTTACAAACGATGTCTCAATATTTTCGACTGCCGATATCTTTCGCTTGTCATGATAGAGTGGACTACGCAGTATTGATTATGCTCGTGAGCGATAATTCCATGGTTGTTTCAGAAATCATCCTGGCTTGATATATTTCTGGCGGAATTGCTCGCGCAAATTAAAGAAGGAAGAGACGTGAAGGATGTACTATCGTTTTGGTGAGAATTTGCGACTTGTCGTTACACTAATCTATTATTATTATCTAATATATGCAAATTCTTTCCCTATGTAATATTTCTCATAAATTTACACGACACTTTCCTGGTGAGCATATTCGATTACACATTTATTTTTACGACTTATTGTCTTCATCTCCTAACCGCAGTATGAAAATTCGATCGCATTGCGGTTGCGGTGAGGTATTTTTGTGTCAGCTCGCTCATTCGACTTCACATCGACTCTACACTTGCTTGTGTCTGCAAATATATTCCTGGATACCTCAAATATTCATAATAATTAAATGATAACGCGTTCTTTGTAATGTATGTGACTCATAAACGGTTTTAAGGTATAGTAGATTGCAAAATGATTTAAACACAATAGATATGTTCGAATCATCGTGTTCGCCATATCTTATCGGTAATGATCAGTCTGATAAGTCGCGGCTTGACAATTGCATAAATTGCGAAAGAGAGATATATGTTAAACAAATACTCGTATCGAATTTCAGCTCGGTTGGCGGTGGCGGCGTGTCCACTCTCGTGGCCTGCGAATTGCTGTCGGACGTGCACGAGCTCTGTGCGAGAAGGGACGACTATGGCGAGCTTATCGGCTTGCGAAAGTACTTGGTCCAAGATCGCGGTTGGCGTTGCTTGGCGGTGTTACATCTACTTGGCGTGCGCGGCTTGTCTTGTGGTCGCGAGCTGGTTGCACTGTTGGTCGCGCTCTATCCGGTCGCGTTGCAGGACGGATCCGATACCAAACAGTCGCGGGAGACTGTCGGCTCGTCTGCACGTAATCAGTACGTGAGATTTCATTGTAACGACGACACCGTCGACACGGTGGACATCGTACCACATATCGCGAAGCGCAAGAGTGTCAAGACTGGCCGAAATGGATTGCCTTACGAGGGCAATGTGTCTTCGGGGCGTAGGAGATTGGCTCGCAAGCACGTCGTCAGTGCGAAACTGCCAGCTCACCATCACAAGCAGCAGAAATCGTTGATTCCGGAGACGCGACACGACACACCAGACGCGACAAGTAGCGAGTCTGACCCGGTGACGGACGGCATCGACCAAGCTCGATCTCTTACTCTGAAAATCCGCTTGAATCCTATGGATTTCGAGTATTTTACGTCAGTCATTAGAAGCGGCGACGAAGAGCAGAGATGGCAGGCCGAGCTCTACGAGTTACCGCCACGTCCTGTGAGGAAGACACCGTGTGATTATATAGACGAGAGAATCAGAGACGTGTTAGGCGCCCGGATCAGCAATTTTGAGATCAGTCTGTTGATCATACAGCTGCTGCAGGGTCTGCGCGACTACGATACACCTGCCGAGCAAACACCGGCCGTACAGGTACTGAAGTTTGCCTTGGATACGTTGTGGTCGCTGCAATTCGGTATAGACGGCAACAATTTGAGTGGTACAGAATGCGCGACCTTGAAAGCTGCCGCGGCGAGGCTTATGTTAACAGCTTTGGAGCGCGCTTTGAGGGCCGAAGAACCTACCACAGCTGTGATTCACAACGGTTTATTGCCGATGACTCTGAGATTATTGGAAGATGCCTGCAGCAAGCCAGTGAACGTGCTGGAGCCAGAAGAAGGTTCGCTTCTGCAGGAATTTATCTTCGGCACTATCTACGGGGTCATCACGTTCCTCTATTGTCTCTTGCATCAGCGCAGCAGCAACGTCGACAAACTGTCGGATTTTCTCGAGCTGTTCCAACTTTTTGTCGAGAGTCAAGAGGGGAAGCTCGTCGAGAGAACGGTGTTTAAGATTGTCGATTTGCCGAGTGTTGATTCAGCCAAGTCGATAGTACGCGCGAGAAAGATAATCGACATGATAGGCGCACTTACCAGCGGCTTGAAGCGTATTCGTCGTGATCTCTCGCATGCCACACAGTGCCACAGAACGAAGCACAGATCTTGCATCGATAATATTCAAAGCCACCATCACTCGGACGTGCTCGGGACGTCATATCCTCAACCAATTGTCGGCGCCGTCAATAAACAAGTGTGCTGTATCTCCTCGTTATTTGCAACGCTCATGAGTTTATTGAAGCAGTCTCACTTGTTTGTGAGCGAACTGCAGGTGAGATTGATTAAAGTCATTACTGCCGCTGGTACATGTTGCTGTTTTCCGCCAAAGATACTTGTATCGAGCATCGTGGCTTTCCTCAAGAAACGTGACACCTCGACCTATGCGCCGGCTGTGGCGTTTTTGGAGCGTACTCTCTTCAAGGAGCTGGGCGCTTATCCGGTGATAGATGCGTGTAGCACTTGTGACAGGTCGACGGATTACTCTTGGGATTTCCTCGAGATGTACGTGGATTTGTTAAGTCCGAGTGACCCGAAACTTTGCTACGTTGTGATGGCGCATTTGCTTAAGATCACACCCAGTTCCAGATATCACGTCAGAGAACAGCTTCTCCTCAAGGTTTTCTACTCGACCTTTTTGCGCGCTAAAACATCCTACTTGACCGACAGCGACAACTCGACGGCGAAATTCCTTTTGCAGTCCTGCATATCCATTATGTCGTGTTTAATTGTCAACGCAAAAATGTGCGAGAAATTTATGGAGTTGGGCGGACTACGCGAACTCTTGGTCCTGATGCCGGACATGGCATTTACGAGAAGTGTTTACACTCTCTTGGAAGTCACCGTGACTATAGAGATCTGGAAGAGCCATTGTGAAGAAGTTAGTTATTTGGAAAGTACCGACATGCTTGCGACGAAATCCTTGTTTGAGGCTCTCGAGAGAGAAACGAATGAATTGTTGAAGATCTTACAGCATATTGAAGAAAGAAAGATAAAAGAAAAGACAGGCCAGAAAGATATGAAGGATACATCTAACATATACTTTGACAATCAAGAGATCAAGCTGCCTCTTATCGGAGATATGGATTCAGCAATCGACGAAACAATAATTGGAAACGTCGACGATTCAACAACTACACAGAAGCTGCTTGAAGTCGATACTCATTCAAAACAATTAGAGAACAAGACTGATACGATAAGTACGGTAGCAATGGCAGACTCACTCAAGAATTTTTATACTCTCGCAAAGGAGGACGTCAATTCAAACAGTACTGACGATGCGAATGTGATCGAGAAATTAAACCTGTATCAGGCTAGCGCAGCATGGAGGGCTGCCGCGGGCGTAGCTCTGTGCAGTCCGAAATTTCGCACTGAACTATCCTCGCATCCAGTGTCACAGAAACTGTTGCATTTGTTTAAATTGTTAGCTGTAGACATCGTCACAGACAGTATTGAAGGTAATTATACGATACGGAGAAACAATACGGGAATTGGCAGAAAGAGAAAGATAGAGGGAAAAATTATTACGTATTAAAGAGTTTATCGTTCTTCTAGATACCACTAAATCGGCGCATAAGCTCTTCGAGGCCCTGATTACGTGCTGTCTGACATCTCCGTTGTGTAAGTGTATTTATGTTACGAGTTTGATTAATACAGCGCGTAACGTATGTATGTCGATTACGTATGTATATATATATCACTCACTCGCGCAGCTGCGGGATTTTAATCCGAGGATGTCTTGCGTGTTCGCTCGGCAGAAAAACAGTTTGAAGAACGTAGGCAGAGGATAAACGTCATTCTCGAAATCTTGGCTGCCAATGACGAGACGTCGCGTAATCGTATCGGGAACTACTTTGTTTACCGCGTTGAAATTTTTTATCCTGCTATTTTCTCGCACAGTTTCGTCGATGTTGAATAAGTATTTTGTGGTACAGATGATCGTGATTTAGTCATGGAATTAGGAAAGGCGTTGATGAACACAGGAATAATGCTTGGTCGTGGAATATCTGTGATAATAGACGCGTTGTTGAAAATCTCCATGTTGAAGCCTGCTCAGGAAAATAGCATACCGCAACAACCGCGTCCCAGAGTATGTGTTTAGTAATTTCCTTATTTTTACTTATTACTCATTAAGAACGAATTTGAGAAAAAAATTCTCTGTACCGAATAGCGTATACATTTATACTGATCAATATATTTTATTCATTGCAGCTACCAATTATGTCGTTGGAGAATCTACCAGATTATGGCGCAGAAGATAGCAGTACTGGCGAATACGTTACTGCTGACGATGGATACGAAGCAGATATCGAAGTACCTGGAAGAAGTCCCAACAATAGCATCTCCAAGAAAAGTAGCCCCCTTGGGCCTGTAGTGGAGCCAAGAGGTCATGCTAATGCACATCCTGCTCTATGTTCCTTGGCGATCGATCTTTTGATTCACTTCAGCGAGCAGTAAGTGACAAAACTCTTCCAGGTATACCAATATATTGTATTGTTTTACTTCATGAAGCATCTTTACAGAGGCTTAGATTTGGAGAGAGCATCTGTAATAACCAGTGGATTGCGACGGGTTGCTGTAACTTGCCGAGAAAGTGCTTCTAGTTGCGCTACACTCGCGGGTTCTGGCACCATTACGAAGATATTGAATGGCTTCAAAAACATATTCACCAACAATGATCCACGATATCGAGGTATTTGCAAGCTATATTCATATGGAAAGAATGCTTACGAAACAGATTAGCATTTGCATAATAAATGGTTTCAGATCTGCAACATGCGGCATTGGAAGTGTTTACGTTATTAGCCACGCAATCAATTTCACCGGCGGAATTAGTCACCTATCTGTCTTTCTTTAAAGTAGAGAGACCATCGCTGTTACCGTTGTTAGAACCGTTGTATCATTTGGTATTGGCGGCACGACCTCAACCGAATTTCATTCTATCGTTTCCTGCACAATGTAACACGAAGACGTCGCCGAAAATCCAAACGGAAGAACACAAGAATCTGGAAAAGGCAGAGAATCTCGTGAACAATTTCAGGAAGAAACATCTCGCTTCGGGAATTTGCAGTCCTTGGTCTGTGCATGCAACGTGCCTGCCCGTCGGCCCGGAACTAGCTTGGCCAGTGTGGCTGCATGGTTGCTCCGCTTCTATGTGGCTAAGAGTGGAAAGAGGCTTGCCCATCGGTGGCAGAGCAACCGCTTATAGTACTTCACCATTGCTCGACTCAGACAGCGATAGTCTATCCGATTGGGGTATTCTTTCTGACAATTGGAATCGAGAAGGTCAGTAGAAAACAGTTTATTAAGTATGTCTATAGTTGTGATTATCAATCGTTTCGTCGAACAATGTCTAATCGTCTTCCTTCAAATCGTTAGTCGTAGCTGGTTCCATGTCACCACCTACACCAACATCAATAATACACTTGATGTCGATTGGTTTCGAATCGTTAGTTTTGGAAACGTGGTTAGATCTCAAATCAGGTAACATTTCGTTGTGATATTAGTAAAGATTATAATATTATTAGTAAAGATTATTAGTATTAATAACAATATTAGTAAAGATTATTAATTAAATAAGGATTTGTCATAATATTAATTTCATTATTTCTAGATAAATTAATTTTACGTCTCACTCGACCAGACGACAAAATGAATCGAACAATTTCTGAAACTTCGATAAACGGCATGCTCCCTTCGGGTCGCTGGCATCATTTGACTCTAAATTTCAAAGACACCGTGTTAAATAAACGCAGTGCTGTGGTCGAAGTTACACTTTGGGTGGACGGTTGGAGAGAGATCAATGCTCAATTACCATTTGACGGTTTATTGGTGAGAAAACCTGGTACTACGTGTATTTTGTTAGGTCAGATTGGATCCAGCAGTATTGGCGCATGGTACCTCGGAAATTTAATGGTTTTTAGGTACATTATTTTGTTATTCAAGATCGAAATCGTATGGTTTACGCAAGGAAATAAAGCTACGTATATATCTATTTGAATTTTGCTTACAGATGTCCAGTATTCACGAAAGAGCGTGCATTATACCTAACAAGTCTCGGACCGAATTATACCAACTTGGCTGATTGCATTTTGAATACGGTGAAACCTGACTTTGCTCTTCTTATCGCGTCTGGCGCACTGAATGGCATTCGCGAAGTGAAATTTGGTAAGTATAACATAAAATATCGATGCATTACATAAAAATATAATAAATAATAACGATATGAATATTATCATTTATATGATATAAAAAATAACGATGTAACGATTCCTACAAAACTGAAAAGATGAACTGAAGATTTTAAGTTTTATTTGTATACGTTGTACAGAAGGAGGCAAATTTGATACAAACCGGCGAAAATCTTATGGCGGTACCTATTTGAGATATGCCGTCGAGACAATGGTGTCAGAGACGAACATTGATTGGGACGCCGTTATGGACGCGACAAACTCGCATCTTGGCGAATTACAAGATAATTTGCTTCTTAGTTACGAGGCTCAGAATCCCAACGTTGTTCATTTGTACCCTCTAGCCGTTGCCAATCCTGCCGGTAAGTGACAAGCCGTTGCATTGGTACGTTACTGATGTTACTGATCAGAGACCGATTATGCATATCGTAACATATTATTGTAGCTGTTGTGAGGAGTATGTTTCCCGGGCAACCAGGTTTTCGAGTCGTCTCAGCTCCTGAGCATAGGGTGTCTCAACAACCGCCCTTATCGATACCCCCAATTGTATCTAACCGTTTAGAAAGTCAACAATACCGAGGACTCATACCTGCTGCGATTTTGGTGGGTGGCGTACCAGTGTTTTTATATCTTTTTGCAAGGGTAAGCATTTTTTAATTTTTGTTTAGTCCAACGCGCAAACAATACATAACACAATAAAACGATAAAAAATTTTAAAAATTAACGATAATTTTATGATACACTCGTGTGCGTATTCTTTAAATGTTTGCGGATGTCTGCACAGGTGGTTGAATTGAACTCTACTGAGGAAGAGCAAGCTCTGGCTCTCTCCATCGTTTTACATCTTGTACGTAGCGATTCCGAACTCTTGAATCAATACCGATTGGAGAACGGTACGCCACTACTACTGCGAGTGCTAGAGTCCTCGAGGTGTCACGCTGGTCGACATATCTTGAAAGCGATCCTAGACGCAACGTGCGACAGTTCGATCATCATCAAAGATGTTGGCAGCGGTAATCATTTGATCTCGCAAAACTGCGAGGCTGTTATCATGGATCCAGAATTGATCAAGGACATGCTTACCGCGTGGAGAACGTGGGCGAAATACGATACATTGAATTTACTGTTGCAAGCATTGCTATTATTACTACGTGATCAACATTCGCAACGTGAGTTCAATGCATCTCAGTTAAACAGAGTCGGTATCGTGAATACGATTCTTACCTTGTGTAAGGTAAGTAAATATACAGTACCGATATATTTATTATATAACAATATATTCCTGATCTTTATAGGAACATGTATATGAAGATCAGGGTGCTATATTGGATCCATCTACCGGTACTGCCGTTGTAGAATTAGTACGTGCTTTGATGGGCGCACCGCCGGAATTTGCTCACTTGGTCGCTATCACCGATTACCTGGTTGTCGTTCATCAAGCTTCGGAGACATACGTCACTCACTCACGACACAATATTTATTTCATGTTGCCGCAACTCGGTGAAAAGAAAACGAATCTAAAGATGAGCGATAACGTGAGCGTCATTTCCTCCGATGACTCCATAAACATCGTGGAAAATAGTAAACTGAACAAAGCGTTGACGAACGTGCAGGTAAGTTTTCCGCTTGCGTGAAATTTCTTAAATGTTTAATTTAACTGTCAAATTAGATTCACATTTTTTATTGAACTTTGGTGGGAAACAATTCGACAAGAAATGAGGCTTTAATCTGAAGACCAAAATGAATATTTTTCCATATCGTAAAGCCTAATATACACTGTGCTCTTCGTTTTCTATGTTTGATTCTTTATCTTTTTCTAACCAAAGGCTCAAGGTTTTAGAAAGAGATAAAAAGAAAGAAATAGGAAGCAAAGAGTATATTATAGATGAAGCTTTAAAGCTTCAAAAATATCAAGATTCTTAAGTCACGTGCACGCGCGTAGAGTAAATATCACATAATAGTTTGTTTTCTCAGATTCAGAAAAATCGGACTCCTAAACGAAAGGAACGTGAAAACACGTTATTGAAAGATGTCAGTGCTGGAGAAGATTCTGGAATCGCAGCTAGTGATGGGTCCAATCCTCAGAGCAATGTCCGTAGCTAAAAATGCCAATCTCTGTACAATGTATATATATATATATATATATATATATATATATATATATATATATATGATTGAAATATTATTCACTTGAGCGTGTCGTTACACAGGAAAGGCAATCAGCCTGGACGGATGAACGAAGAGCCTGCCAAGGCTTAGTCTGTGAAGGTTTGCTATTATTATTGCGAGACGCTGTAAGAGTATTACCCGACAGTCAAGTTGGGTCAGTGTTAAAGCATGTCTTGAGAGCCGAATTACTATTGGTTTTATCTAATAATCCTGACACCAGAGTACGCACTGCGTTGATTAAGGTAAATAATTCAAAATCGACTAAAATATCGTGCGATTTTTATCGAGACGTGAATAGAAAAGAATAGAGAGTTTCATAATTTCCTTCGCGATACGTTACAGGTGGTGCAAACCTATTTGCAACGAGCTAGCGACGAGGAAGTTAATAAATTTATAAAACATAAGTACTTCATGCACTTAGGAAATCAGATAGCCTTATATCCTGGGAGCGAACCGCTGATCGTTGCTTTAGAGAACTTAGCTCTACGGGGCCCGACGTTGGCGGCGATGCCACCGTTAATGGCAATGGTTGCAAAGGCGGCAGCTTTTGAACCAAACGTAGCCAGGCCGATAATATCATTTATTACTGACGTGATAGCAAAGGTATGACAACAGAAGAAAGAGAGAGAGAAAGAAGAATATATATTTGATGCTTGTCTAATATGTTATTAACTTAACTTTCTTCATTCCAGAATATGAACGCACTGAAAGTGCTCTTGGAGCAAGGATTGATAGAATCATTGGCGCAAGCTTTAATCGCGGCCGCGCATAGGGGCAGCTCGACGTCTCTTCATCGAGACATTCATGTGTTGTTTGTGACAATCGCGACTAAATTGCTGGAATTACCGGGTAGTCATCAGATACAAACTATATTAGATCTGCATGTAATCCTCGATTACGTGGAACTGATTGAGAAGTTACAATGTCGCACGAGTTTGGCTTGCACGGCCATAAGGGATGCGCAAGTCGCGTTATTCGATGGAGAGCTGGACACACTCACGACGAAGATGTCGAGCCACTCGGGATTTCGTTTACGTAGTACGGCTTCTTACTTGGCTTCAGCGTCATACTTGACTTCAGGTAATTAGTAGACGACGAACACCTTAGGTATTCGATATACTCACATTGGAAAACTTTTCGCGCAGTTCTTACGACGTCTAGCGATCAAAGCGATCATGGATCTCGTTCATCTAGCTACACGAGCCTTTACACGAGTTCGCCTACGCCCACGCGGGAACCCGGCAAGAGAGAATTAAACGATCGCTTTCGTATTATTGTCACACGCGCGGTCGAATTTATAACTGCAGCTGACGTGTCACCATCCGTCAATGAATTGCAGCTAACAAGAAGATTGTTTTCCACTCTTCTGCATGGCTTGTGCAGTCCACTGGAGAAGAAAAACCATTGGAGTAATACGTGGTCTGTTAAGCCGGCTTTGAGAAAATATACTGCTAGAATCATGGTGTGGTTGCTGGAACCTCATCAAAGTATCAATACGAGAGTGTATGCCGTACGATCTCTAATGGAGGAGCCGAGAGCTCGAGAAATCTTATCGTGTATTTTAGAAGTTCATCCACAGGTATTTGCACAGTTTAATTATGTCTTGCAATGTTACCTTGTTCAAGTCTTCTACTTACGTTTTGCAATGTTACTTTGCCCGATTCTTTTACTTTGGAAAAGGTTAGAAAAGTTTTTTTTTTAATTATCCATTATCGTCACTCGTCATTAATTGAAAAAAAAGAAAAAAAATAACTCGTTATCTTTCTTGTTATTCGTTTTGAGAAATCTTATTATTGTGATTGTTACCTCGCCTTAAAACATTCTTATTTCTGTGATCATATTTAGATGGAACAAAAATTTACCGTATTCTTTTGGGACTTGCTGCAAAAACGAGACGAGATGCCGAGTGCTGATGCAAGAGTATGTGCCGAATTAAGAGAAGCTCTACGCGTGTGGGACCTCGCGAAAGGAATAGAGCAGGCTAGTCCCGAAGCGTGGAACGACGAGTTAGCTTTATTACGTCGGGACTTGCTTTTGGACCGAGATATCTGTATCGATAATTATCCTGCAATTTTAAGGTAGACGATATTTTTACTCCGGAAAACAACGTATGTTATTTCATTCTTCTGAAAAGTTAATATAACAATTTTACTCTAGAATTGGTAAGAGATTCGACGCGTTAGCCAAACAGTTAACCGAAAGTGCTATGACAATAACACGAGCGGTCGTGGAGGAGCAAAATCGTGAGCGAAAGGTACTGATGGAGCAATTGAAACACACTCGAGCGCTAAAAGCTCAAGCGGTAGCCAGATGGAGAGACTTGGCCAAGCGATTGACCCATGAACGGGCGCCTTGGCATTTCCCCGAGAATTACCCGAGAAGCTGGGAGTTAGATCCGACTGAAGGCCCCGCCAGAGTCAGAATAAGACTTCAGAGATGTCATTTAAACATCGAAAAGAGATTCTTCCTGCCAGAACATCAGGATAAATTAGGTGTGTCTGTTTATCTTGTGCGATTAATAAAACGAAACAAAATAATTATCCTGAGTTTATCTTGACAGTTTTATTTTCTTATTATCCTTCTTAAAACTTGCACATGTACACAAGGATTGGTGAATTGAGAAAATCCTCTGCTACATTTTAATTTTGTATTTCAGGGTTTCCCAATACGGATTCACCGTTGTCATACCTATTTACAAGTGGTCGTCAGGACGCCAATGCTTCGACACTGATTGAACGACTGCATACGAGTGAGAGAATACGTAAGATGTGTCAGGTCAAAGTTGTCACTCCTAGAGCCGAACTAGCTGGCGAAGTACTCATCGGTGAGACATGTGTATACTTTGTTCCCGACAATCCCGACGTGCCGTTACACGCAGACGTGAGTAGTCTTTCTCTTCTGCAATTATAATCAACAATTGATATGAAGTACTAATGATAATAATAATATAACTAATTATCATTAATTGTAGGTAGCATTGGGCGATCTGGACTTAGCTATGGCCGGTGGTACCGCTTGGCGTTTGGAAGATATTCGCGAATTACATAGAAGAAGATATCAATTGCAAGAGACGGCCATTGAAATTTTTCTCATTACCGGTAGAACGTACTTATTGGCGTTCAATTCTGCCAAAGAAAGGGACGAATTCGCGACAGAGCTGTCCGCTTGCAACTTACCCAGACGAGTCCCTGGTGATGACTTAGGAGAAGCTCTAGCCTTGTGGAGAAGCGGTGCACTCACCAATTGGGAATACATAACTTGTCTGAACAAGTTAGCGGGTCGTTCATACAATGACTTAATGCAGTATCCTGTATTCCCGTTTGTTTTGGCGGATTATGTCAACGAGAAAATCGACTTGAACAATCCGAAAATTTATCGGTAAGTAATACAGAAGATATAGTAAATGTGAGTTGTACATTTTTTATTAAATCATGAAATAAATGCGAATGCACTTGCGTACTTTGTAGAAACTTTAAACGACCGATGGCTGTGCAAGATAAAAATAATGAGCAACATTACATTGACAATTACAACGTGAGCAATTTAAAACAATTATATGTCGTATACCGTTTATATAATGTGAATTTCTCATGATGTCACTAATAATTTCATTTTCACATAGTATTTGAAGCAAGCTTTATCAGAAGAATTAAATCTGCTAGTCTTCAATCGAGAACCTTATCATTATGGGTCTCATTATAGTAACTCTGGAACTGTATTACATTTCTTAGTACGACTTCCACCATTCACTAGCATGTTTTTGTGTTATCAAGGTAATTGCGGGATACTTTTATGATTATAGTCTTTAAAGGAGTGATTTTCCTAAGTGATTTGGTATCGTTTTCATTTGCAGATAATAATTTTGACATTCCCGACCGAACATTCCATGCATTAGCTACCACGTGGAGATTAACTAGTTGCGACTCGACGACAGATGTGAAGGAATTGATACCGGAATTCTTCTATTTACCGGAATTTTTATTGAATTTCGAAGGTATGACAGTGCTATAATTGATTTGAAAAACACATTTTCCTATGTGTGCCTATATTCAGATTTCTGCTGCAGGATTCAATTTTGGTGTTCGGCAGAACGGCAACAAAGTGGGAGATGTTGAATTGCCTAAATGGTGTGGCGGTGATGCACGTCTGTTCGTATTGGGACATAGAGCCGCGTTGGAAACGGATATTGTGAGGGAAGTTCTACCATATTGGATCGATCTTGTTTTCGGCTTTAAACAGACCGGAAGGCCGGCAGTAGAAGCTATAAATGTTTTTCATCCTGCTGTATGTTTCACTTCTCGATTGCAGAATAGAATGTAGAATATAAAAAATTAATAATTGGTTCTTTGTATGTAGACATATTACGGTTTTAACGTGGAGCAAATAGTCGATCCTGTAGCACGACAGGCCTGGGAAACCATGGTACGAACTTATGGTCAAACACCCGCGCAGCTGTTCAGAGCAGCTCATCCACTGCCGATGCAAAATCTCAGTAATGTAGCGCATTCTAGTCAGATACCACAGGTCATCGAAGGAATTACTGGTAATTATTACTTATCTGAAGCGTATGCTTACATTTTGATTGCTGAATAAGCATTATGTAGCTGCAAATTATGCGTCAAATCCAATAAAAGTTGCAATTGTCTGGTATAATTACAGGTATAAAGTGGGGAAATTATGTAGGCGCACCTGGCAATGAGCCTGTATTATGTTGGAAGCATAAGCACAGATCTCCATTGGCTTCTCTGGTTCCTCTGACAACCGGTGATGTTTTCGGCTTGCCAAACTACACTACCCTTCTTCTTGGGTATACTAAGGAAAAAGGTTATTAATAGATTTATGTTAATAATTTATGTTTATGTATATATTAATAATTTAGATTTACGTTACGAATTTATAATTTACGGTTTACGTGTGTTATTAATTTATATCTCAGTTGTTACATTATTGCGTTGTTTGCGCAACTCAAAGTGCTTAGACAGAAGAGACGAATGTAAGCCTCTTATATTGTTAGGTGGTAGTATGTTAAGCTGTACGTCTGTGTTGGGTGCCGCGTTAGCGTCATGGAATGGCACAGATGGAATCACCAGATTAAAGTGTAAGAAAGAACAACCGCCGAGGCCTTTAATTAAATCTTCAGGCCTCGATCCTGTGAGTATTACAACATATATCTTATGATAAGTAAGACTTTATTAAGAATTAAGTAACTGCGAAGTAAAAGCGAAGAGATGAATAGAATCTTAGAAATCGCTAAGATCACTTTGTCCTATGTTAAATGAAACATTAAATGTAAGGTGCGATATAATCGATTACAGATTACGACATTGGGTTCTGCTCCTGATTGTGGACAACTGTGGGCCGGGCACTTGTTAGGTAGAATCACAGTGCACACGTATACCATTGGTGCTACGGGCAAAATTGAATTCAGTTCAGCGCCCGCGTCGGTGTTGCTGGCTCACAGAAATCGGGTAATGATGATTTCTCTGTCACGTGCGTTCAGCATTGCTTGTTCTGGTGACAGTAGCGGCGTCATGATTATTTGGGATTTAAACAGGTATACGTGAAGACATAAACAACCGTAGTTAAGATTTAATTATTCATATATGTCTGTACATTTTTTGCTTTGTAACAGCTTGACGTATGTAAGATCAATAGTCTACGATCAAAGCTATGCTATTCATCTTCTGTGTGTCAGTGAGACTCTTGGAGACGTAGCAGTTGTTTATGAAATTCCTGAGCAGGAAGAGAACAGTGATTCCAATCAGTCCGAATTGAGGGTTTACACCGTGAATGCGAGAGCCGTAGGCTCCGTTTTGTCCAGAAGACGTATAACGGCGCTTTGCTACAGCAACGCTCCGGAAGGTGTTTCTGTTAATGTCATTGCAACTGGTTTGGACAACGGAATTATTAGGTAAGATGGATACGTTATTTCGTTAAATTTATGGATTATTGAACGAAAATGTTTTTCCGTATATAGACTGTGGAGCAGTTGGGATCTACAGTTAATCAGAGAAATTACGAGCAGCGCGAAGGGATGCGGCGCAATAATTGCCGTAGCATGGGCTTTAGATCAACACCATTTATATGCAGCTACGGAAGATTCCACCATCCTCATATGGGAGGGTTCAAAGCGCCTGAGTTCTGGTACTCCAAAATTCGTTAATTTAACATCGCTATGATTCGCATCGCCGTTATCTAAACATTTCAGAGTGACACGAACACTCAATGGCGCCATATAGTAACAGGAAAGAGTTTATATATAAAAAAAGATTCACCTCTCTCTTCTGAAATCAGATATATGTATATATTCGGTATTACATTTAGATTGTAATTATTGTAACGTTAAAAAGTCATTATCGGCGCCTGATTCGATACGTAATTAATTTCTCATGCAATATGTTATTATTTATAGATTAACGTTTAATTAATTTAGAATTATGCTCTCAATCTCAGTCATGCAATCATGACATGTGTTGAAAGAATGAACAATATTCTGAAGTATTATTTTATTGACACTTTTTAATGATTATACCAGTGATCATCATACATCAGTTGTTAGATTTTTATATATTTTTATATCGGAGCGCATTGTATCCATATAAACTCTCTCTCTATATATATAGCTTTGTTTAATAAAATAATTTATATTTATAAATTTGTTTTTATAGAATAACATTTTTGTAGTATAGAAACTTTTTACACTGACTATTCATTTTCCTAGTCTCTTGTTTATGCAGTTGTAGATCTTCATGTATGTATATAAGTATTAAATAAATATTTACTAAAGTGGAATACTTATATAAGTGGATAACTTATTTTATATATATATATATATATATATATATATATATATATATATATATATGTATATACAGTATAAAAATATTTATTTCAAATTTCATTTAGACAGGGCTCAATTATTTCATACATTGGATAATATTTTGTTGTCCTTCTTGCAATTTTATCTGCTGTGTCTCCACTTGTGTTTATTATATGTGGATTTATGTCAGGATGTAATAAAAGGAGCTGAAGAGCTGGAGAATTATGAGAAGTAGCAGAAACCAAATGCAAAGGCGTCTGATCTCCTTTACTTTTAGCATTTACATCTGCTCCATTTGCAATCAAGGCTTCTGCACATTCAGTATTGTTCCAACAACATGCAGAATGTAGAGGTTGCCATTCATCCAATGTTTTAACATCTAATCTTGCTCCTACTTCCAATAAATACTAGAAAAAAAGAGACAAAATTATGACAAAATTATTGATATTCTGCGAAGACAAGAAATAATATTACCTCTACTATCTTTACATGATTGCCATAACATGCTCTGTGTAATGGAGTATAGCCATCCTTGTCTGTAACTTCCAATAGAAGTCGATTTTTACTCAGTAGTTCCTTAATTTTTTTAAAATCTCCTTCCTCTGCTGCATTTAACATAGCTTTTGCATCAGGTTCTGAAAATAACATAATACAGAATTCTTAGTAAAAAACGACACGATAAACATTTAAAAGATTATGAATTATAAATACATTTTTTTACTTCTTCCAATTGTTATAATTTTATATAAATACAATTTCTAAAATCAGCATGAAGACGTTTGACACATGTCAAAATTCTAACCTTGTGCATTACGTTCCGCTTCCACACCGTCGTCGTCATCCTCCCAGGCACTCACTTGCATGCGTTCGTTAAGTGACTGACTAAGAATTTTGTCTCGAATTTCCTCCAAGTCTGTCAATTCGTCGTTTTCTTCTTCAGATGACATATTTATCATTTAAGAACCTTTTAGACTTCTTTATTAGCCTGAAAAATAGTGGGTCTAACAAATTATTAGACCCGTTATTTTAGCGAGTGACGTTTAGTTCCAAAGTTTCCGCTACGAGCCGTTACTTTCTTCAGTGAATTTAAAATAGTAGTACGACTCAACAATATGTTAAAAGGATCTTTATACATTTTAAGTAGTACCATTGAACGTTTGTCAGATCCCTTTTACTTTATTTTAAAAAATAGACAAAATGAGTTGCAAGTTACGTAAAAATAAAAATAATGAAATGTTTCAGAAAGTATTCTTAAGCTTGAAGTTTCTATTTTGCGTGCATTAAATTCATAACATTTATATTGTTTTTCACTTAGAATATATCGAGTTAAATGAAACATTTCTTTAATTTTAATTATTTTTAACCTTTGTATGTATTGTATTTAAATTAATTACTATAATTACGATTTAAACATAAATTCTGCTATCTATAATATAATCCAAATATCTATGAATTCAATCGAATAATTAAATTTTGGTAACATTTGAAAAATACAATCTCGAGCATCTGTCAGAAATGTCGCAAACTCTATAAACTATGCAAAATGAATTGCCTGAAATTACTGGAAGCGTTGGACGTGGTCGGTTGCGCTGGTATTTGCATAAGTACCGAGAGTTCGCAACTGCTACAAAATTCGCTTCTCATCTTGCAGAAGGAAAATCATTTTCGAAAGTGTTATTACTGGGGTAGAATCGATGGGATTCAAAACGACTATCATATTGCATACGGCTACGAGAAGGATTGCATGAGTGGTCAAGTGTATTATTACAGGTGATACTTTATTTTAGTCTTATTAAGATCTTTATTATTAATTAGTTTTTTAAAGTACACTGAGAGAAAAGGAGAGAATTTTGTGAAGTAAAACTACACGATTATGAAACAACAATCGGTTTAAAAAAATGTAATAAAACTCTAAATCCTACGATATTTCTCTTAAAAATTAATAATTAGAAAGAGGAAAATATTTGAAAGGAAAATACTTTTATTTATAGTACAGACTGCTTGAATTGGCTATTACTACCGAAGGCAACAAAATGCGGACGATTCTTAAGCCCTTTAGCGATTAATAGATTCGAGGGTGACCCGTCCATCGTCACGAACGTTTACAACGTCAATCCGCCCTTCCCACCGAACGAAGATCCTAAGACTTATTACGATGTAATAATTGCGAATACACCGCACACACAATTCCGTAATTCCAGTTGCACGATCAATTCAAATGATTCGAAACGGTGTACAGGGACCTATGCCTCGGGAACTCAAGGAGGAGGATCGTCTCGCTGCCACTGTAGAATTAATCACGGAGGATGCCGCGATAATTCCACGCGGTGCCTGGTTCAAATGCCCGAACGGCGACGTGATTGAGAATTCGAGTTTCGAAGGCCTGTGTGCCTCGGACGCCTCCTGCTTCAAGTCCTACTTGCACGCTCGTCCTCCGAAGGAGAAGTGGAACACGAACTTGTTGTCTCGAGCCGATTACAATTATGCGTTGGACTTTTTGGACAGCATAGATATGGACGTGCCTCAAGGTAAAACAAGGCGTAAAGCCAACGATTTGTGATGAAGGCAGGAATGAAGAAACGAGTACTGCAAAGCAACCGCTAACGTTGCACCGATGAATTAAACTCTTTGCTGTGTGTCATCAGGACGTTTGCATCTCTTTTTAGGATGCTGGGGTTTGCAGTTTCTGCTGGGCGGCCGCCTGACGATTTTGCACAGCTTATATTGGCACGGAATGATATTTTTCCATAAGCTAAATTCTCCGCATCACGGTTTCTTGTATGTTGGACACGGAAAGAAAAATCTAGATTTGCCATTTATGCTTTAACCTGAAGAAATGATCTTGAAAATATGAGAAACAATGTTGACTGAATAATATTATGTAGTAAGAGAACACATACAAAAATTATAAAATCAAAATAATTCATCAATTATAAAATCTAAAATAACCTAATTTAATGAAACCAATTACAACATAACCTAATTTGATGAAATCGATTACAACACTTAGATATATCGATACGAAGAAATAATAATAAGATTTTGACGTGTCTCAAGTAACGTGAAGTATTCCTCGATTTACGGAAACGAAATGATTGGTCGGATGCGTAATCGATATGCGCGCCAAAGTATTTCGGGACGTCATTGTTTTTAACGTCCGGTTCCGCGTCAGTTCCTGTCACGAAAATCCATTGTCCGGTCGTGTCCGCTCTGTGCCCGCTTGGCAATCGTCAAATTCGCGACAACATTAAATTTCGTTCTTCCTGCGGAACGCGTATACCTTCCTGTCGGTCTGGAATTTCGGATTCCGCGAAGTGCAAGCTGTATTATCATGAAATAGCCTGAGTCGTGAAGACTAGCTTTGAGTACTATATGGCGTACGCCTGATCGACACACGTAAGTCACGACTATATCTTTCGTAATAAAAGGAAGTAACATATATTTAAGATTGACTCAATTATACTATTCAATTCTGATATCCGATCGAGTTTCTGATTAGACAAGTCAAGTTGTCGAGTTCAAGGTTAGGAAAAATAAAGCAGTGGCTAGTGTCTCAATAGTGCGAATCGGCCATATTATCAGAAATATAAATCTTTTGAATATCACAATGATAACGACAATATTATTCTCTTAGGCTCTTATTCTGAATATCCTTTTTATCGATAAAATTGTCTCTAAGTGAGCTTTTCCATTGACTCACAAGCGCATTTAAAAGTACTTTAGTTAATAAAAAAGAGCTTAGAATACAGGATCTTAGAATTTTTCAAATCCAGCATAGCTTAAAATAATGGAATATAAAGTTGTGAGAGTAAACTTGTCTAAATTCAGGATCTGGAACATCGTTTCACGTATGGTCTGCGTACCATTACGTTTTGAATTTCGCGCGCTCTCCCGCTTGGCGCCAACGCGCTCGGTTGTATCCGCCGGCCGGCGGATGGCGCCACCCTCACGACGCGAGCTACATAATCGGCCGGGGACGCACAAGCGCAGTCGAGTCAACAGAGTCGGACGCAGTGACCGGCGTCTTCGGCGAGTGAAGTGTCTTCGTTGCGAGTGTCTCGGAGGCCTGTGTCTGTCTTCTTCTGTGCGGATCTATCTGCCGAGGATACTTCGTCGCGCCATCGGTGAGTGTCAAAGCACATTTCGCACGGTAGTCTCGCGAATGCGTATGTGCCGTGAATCTCTTTTCGCTCGAAGTGCAAAAAGCCTGCGAGATCGCGAGAAGCCGGCTTGAGAAGCCGGCTACCGTTGCTGACCCGAAGCGTTATCTCACGGCACATGCGGATTCCGGGACTGTCTTGTCTCGTCGGATACATGCCGGTCGTTTACTCGACTTCGTCGCGGCCACAAGGACGCCGATATTTTCCGTCGCAATTTCGAGAGACTTGCCGCGATGCTGTGTGAACCACGGCACAACGCGCGCGTACTCGCCTCCCCGAAATTCCTCCCTCCGTCCTTCGCTGATGACAGACGACGTTGAGTTTCGGCTGTTTCGTGTGCGAGCGTTCGTATCGCTCAGCATTACAGCAACGATTTATACGGGTTCTTTTTCGCGATTTTACGTCACGTATTTGTCGAAATTCACCGTACGATAGGAATTACGATTATCGCGACGATATTTTTGTGATATCTTATGATACCGAGTCTGTATTGTGAGAGTATTGGTACAAATTGGAGAAATATTCCCTCTTTCTGCAAGTCGCAAGTTTTCACGAGAGATATTCGACCGTTATGTCGGCTAGTCTTATTAGGCGAATTATTAGGACACGTTGCTCACCGGCAACGATATGTAATTTGGGAGAAATCGGATGCGTCTCATAAAATGTGGCTTCACTGTAGGGCCTCACCTTAAGTTTTATTATCGGGCGCACCGTTAAAGCGAAACAAAAACACCGGTTTTAAAGTCGCGCGACGGCACACGATATTTATTATCGCTCCTTGTTTATGGACATTCCACTTTTTGTATTTACGCGACGCGTCGTCGTGCTCGATTCAAGGTTAGCAGGGTCAAAGAGAATTACGGACCTGTCGTTGCCTGGCAAAAAGGGCATTTCTTATTCCCGTCCCCTTCGCGCGAAATGTGCACAGAGGGGCAGTTAATTCCCTCCCAGTTCATTTGCTATCACGAGTTTGTTCCGCGGTGAAGGCGAGGCCGACATATTCTTTGGCATGATCGAAATCGTTTGGCTGACGGCTTTTGCAGGATATACAATCATGCATATATATCGATTATTGTGACAATATTTATGTATATTTATATATAATTATTTTATTATGTTCTCTAGGATATAATTCCTCTTTGATTAATTGATACTGATATTAAAAATATGTAATACAAAGCAATGAAGATAATATGAATGGGGAATAAGGTAATACGAAATTGATCAAATAATAACGGATATTATAAATTTTAAAAAAAACAACGTATAAGCGCAGCAATGCAGTCGTGTATTTGGGATTTCTGGTTATAAATGGATAATAAATAATAATGATTCGAAATAGGGATTGAATAATTCCATATCGTTTTGTATTCTTCGCGTAATATTATCATAATTGTTATCGTATAAAGTATATTGAGAAAAAATAATAAAAAATTTACTAGGAATATAAAGCTTATTATTACATAAGTAAATTTTATTCCATGGAAATGAACTTTATTTTACAGAAATAAAATTTTTATATCCCAAAATAAATTTTTAAATATTTCTTTTTCAGTGTAAAAGTGTTAATGCACCTGGATATTGGTACTTACCTCTGGATATTCTTATTGTTTTGGTCTTCAAATACGAAATTTAAACTTTCTATATATATAATATGTACATGTATTGTGAATATATATATATATATATATATATATATATATATATATATATATATATATATATTCTACATTAGAATAATTGTATCTAAAAAAACCAAAACAATAAGAATGTTCGAAATTAGTTATCATTGTTATTACATTGAGAAAAGGTATTTGAAAATTTATTTACGGGATGTAAAGTTTATTTTTGTGAATGAATTTTATATTCCATAATTAAATTATTTACAAATATTCACACAGAAATAAACTTTATATTTCACAAATAAATCCTCGAGTTTTTCTTTTTTAGCGTTTCTTTTGTAATGTCCAGATCACAAATAACGAGATCGATATTTTTACCATATTCGTCACTTATATCTTATTTGTTCGTTATTTGCACGATATTTACAAATATGATTTCGTGCGATCACAGAAGTATTCGTATACTTCGCTTTCCGGGAGGCAGTCGATTATTGCGTTTAATTATATGCAATACGGCGCGTCAGTTCACATCTGTATGAGCTTTCTTTCTCTCATCTTGCTCGCACGAGGAAACGATTCGTCATTAATTCCATCGATTCGCGGCATTATTCCACTCCTCTCGCAGATTGCGAGGGTTCGTCGCGCGACTTCCAATTCTCCTCTGCGGTTTCGTCGCAGGGGCCGAGTCTGCCGAGAGTCATTCGCGTTTTTCCCCTTGTGCATCTGTGTACAGGCGAGATTTATTTTCGTACATCGAAGAAATCAATGAAGAACCGATAACCTCTCACTCTCCTCTTCTCTTCTCTCCTCCTCACCGTCGGAAACCCTCCGGTCGTCTCTTATCCGATTCATATGCGCGGCCCGTACATGTGCAATCGTGTAGTCAATTCCGAGCACGGACCGCGAGTTCCGGTTCCTATTCAAGTAGTATCCTCCGCATCCCGGCGAACACACCTCTTGTCTTCGTTCTTCTCCTCCTCCTCTTCCTCCTCCTCTTTTTTCTTTTGCTTATCGTATAGTCGCGCGAGAATTTTGCTTTGCATAATCTTTCCGGTATTTGCCCAGACATGGCCATATTTCTTTTGCCGGAGATACTTCACAAGTATTTTCATCGTCGCTGCGCCGTTAAAAGCAATTACGGTTTATTCTGAGAGAAGAGGGGGAAAACACGAAGAGGAAAAAACACGCTCATTACCTCGGTGCTCCTGTTATTATATTTTTCGATCTATTTATGTTCTCTTCGCAGCGTGAATTCGCTCCTCGTGTTTTCGCACGTGCTCCGGCGAGGAGATCTCGCTCGGATAGTTCACAGCGATGCTAATGGGCGATTAATTACGGCAGAGTTAACGCCGCGAAAATATTACATAACACGGCAAGTAAACGAGGGTCGTTAGATTATTACGATAAGAGCTATAAATTGAATTGAACTGAGACGAGAGACGATTATACAGCACGACAAAGGAGAGGCGGAGGCTATACACGATCGATAGATGCTCGTAACAGCTACGGAACGCGTTCGCTCCTGTTGTTGTCTCTTTTATCATCGATTACACCAGATAGCCGTTCGCATCGTGTTACAGCGTTTCGCGGAAGGAAAATAAATATCGCATTGCCTTCGATTGGCAGTGCAATCGTGGGAGGTAGCTCTCTCTCTCTCTTGCGCGCGCGCCTTCTCGGATTCGAGATATCGAAACCGCGGTTGTCGACCCCGCCCGACACGCCGTCGTTCCTTTTTAACGCCGCGGCGAACGTTCGAGGTGAAATCCTCTAACGGGATTTGGAGTAAACCATAAAAACGGCTCGGAAGTATTGCGGCATTGAGTTTCTTTGTTCCGGGCCCCGCGCGCGCGGACATCTACGCGTTGCGGCGTTCTCCAGCTAGCGATTGGAGAAGTAACACGGTGTGGTGTAAACACTGCGAAAAACATTTTAGCGATTTTTCTTTTTTCGTGCTGGAGGTTTCTGCGGCGACGAAGCGGCAATTGATTTCCACCCTTATACGTGTTACGCGAGTTTGTCGAGGTCTCTCCGAAACCGCCTTCCAAAATCGATCGGTAATTTGACGAGGCGATTTGTCGAGTTGTTGCAATTTAAGGAGAAATTTAGAATATAATAGTAAAATGGTGGTATTTTTTTCTCTGCACGGAACAAATATTATAGTAAAAATTATGTTACATTTATATTTCCTTTTGCAATGCTCTTTAACATGAATAAACGTGATAGCATAAATTACTGTATATTCTTACTTGATAGCAAAAATAGTGAACTTGACAATCTATTTAATATACGATACAAAAAACATTCAACTAATTATGATTTTGTAGTACAAGATCAAATATTAAACAAATATATAGTAATTTTGATTATAATTCTGTATATATGTCGCCCTAACTTACACAAATTTTGTTATAATTTTTATTACAATATTTTCTCCGTGTACATTTTGATGTACAAATTATGCATGCAAAAAGTGCATATATTAGATAAGTGCAAAAAATTTATAATCTTTTTCTCATTTTTGTCTGAAATTTTCTGTAGGAAATTTTGATATTAAAAGGAAAATCTCGTTAGATGGCTAAAAAATGTCTCAATTCAATGTTCTTTATTTTATTCATAAAAGTTAATAATCCTCCAAAATTGAATATAATTTCTTTTTTATTTAATAATCACTCTTTGTGTATCAACTTGACATTTCGATTTTGATCAACGAGCAATATCGGTTTATATCGCGCATGTATGATCATTCGCAAGGAGGCAACGAAAGCCGAGACGCATGAATGTTTCGTTATTATGACGTCGCCAGCAGTAACAACAAATTATAACGCGATATCTCGGATACGCATGTGCGAAAAGATATCGGTGCTGGCGGAGTGTGTTCATGCGCGTCGTTTTGTTCGACAACGGTCGTCGTAATACGAGAAGATATTGTCCACTTGACAACGGTGGCACCGCGTATACCGGACGCACTCTTTGTGCACGTGATGCGTTACATTCCAGACCGTTCTTTTTCTATTTTCTCTACTGAATCATATATCAAAATCGTATGTCTTCTCTCGATAAAAACGCCATTCTTAACCGTCAACTTACGTAGTGGCTAAACTTCTGTATATTGCGAGAATTTTAAGGATCTTTCATATTCTGCAAAAAAGCGTGATTGTTATAGTTTAGGTCAATTCAAGAAAATTCCCTTTAATTGTTAACCTTGTTCGGGGAGACAACAAGAATATTCCCAGAATACTCTCAGAGAATTTGACGATCTTTTCTGCTATTTTGTGACGAGCACAATTCCATACTACGCCAAAGCATTGTTAGTTAAGAGTTACTGCTCACGCCACTCGGCGT